GCCACTGGGATTCCGAGCGTGCGGATCGTTGGGCACCTCTTTTGAAGCCGAGCAAGGCTGTCTTTGACGGGCTCAGGTTGCAATCGCCATCAAGTGACCGACGGTGGCTAGGCGAACGACTATAATCGGTCTTTCCCTGCGTTCTCGATCAGACCTTGCAGTTGCATTTTCTTCTATATGCACACACACACACACATGAACATACCTGGAGATTGCTCCACAAGACTGAGCGCAGGGCACCGCTGCTTCGGATAGGATTTGCCAGCTCAACAGAGCTTTCCAGGGACCTTGGGTGTAGAGTGTAGACGGTGTTGTCCTAACCTGCAGATAGGTCGGGTGTGCAGTCCAACAGTCTTCGTACTGCATCAAAGCTTGAACTAGTCCCACTGTAGCTTTCAGGCTTTGGAATCTGTGACAATCCCAGCACGGTTGCCACCCCGAACTGTGTGGTTTGCGGCCCCTGGAGCTTGGCGGCTCTTCGGTTGGACCTCGAAGCCTTTGAACTTGACGCCCGGTGTGCCTTTCTCACCCAGCAAAAGCTCGCTCCCAGCACCCAATTGGTGTCCACGTCTGCGCGGGGCAGTCGGCCGTCGGCCGGGTCAGCCTGGCAGGGCCCTACTTGGACTGCGGGGAGCAGGTGGCCAAGTGCTGCGCCCGGGCACCCAACGGAAGGGGGTTCCAGCCGCGCGGCTGGCGGGGCAGTCGGCTGGTGCATCCAATGGCCAAGAAGCAAATTGAGGCGTACCCGGTCACCAATCAACATGGAACCTGACAGGGGGTATGAATTGTCCATACCCCACCCCTGATTTGACCTGTATCTGCGCGAAAGAGAAGGCGATGGCTTTTGCTGCGCACACCAAGCTCGCGTGACTTTGAAGACACTCAACACCCCAGCCGTCCCTTGCACCACACCCCAAGGCAGCGTGAGCAACAGCAAAATGACCACACGAGCTTTTTGGGCAGAGTGGCCCATCAGGGCTGGAAGGCAGCTTAGAGGTTGAAACGGCGAGTAACTTCTCTCTCTCTTCTCTCTTTTGAGCGTGGCAAGTGTCGTTCTTTCAGATTCACAAGAAGGTCAATTGCAGCACAAACCAGGTGAGCCGCGTGACAAGGGCGATTGAAGGACAGGTTTTCCTTGGAGTTCGGAATCATGGTTCGACATGTTCTTCTTGGGATCCTTATCGCTTCACTGAAAGATGGATGTTTCCTCCGGATGTTTCATTGTGTCCTGTTGCACCCCCAGCTTTGACTTCCAGGGTGGGGGTTCCTGATTTGGTCACCGGTTCTTCTACCGCTTGGCCAAGGCAATGGAGCACCATTTTGACTTTCCCAAATGAGCGTGACTTTCCCAAATGAGCGTGAACGGGAAGTCAAGCGTGACATTTTATAGGTTGAACCCACCTCCAAAACGGGTTCTGCAGGCCATATTTTGATCCACCAACCATCCTGCTTCCATCCAGCGACTGTTTGCCCGATCCGGCTTCCGCTTGTTCTCTCGCAGAGGTTGAGCAGGGGACGCACTACGTGGATATCACCGGCGAGGCTGCCGTGTCAGCGTGCCGCTTGTTTGGTTCATTCAAACCTAGCCTGCTCCACGGGTGCCTTAACGAAGCGCATGATTTCACCCAATAGACACACTCATGGTAAACATTGGTCAGGCGTTGCGTCAGGGCCCCATATACATGTGCACAGTTGAAGGAGCTAAACTTAAGCTAACACGTCAAACTTCGAATGCACGGAAACGGATTAGGAGGTAGCTTCTTCAAGGAGACAGGCGACGCGACGGGAGCCAACACTGTGTTGCCAAGCAATACATTGCCGGACTTCCGTGGCTGTCTTTGCATAGCTTGGAAGCACGTCAGCTGGAACATGTTCTCAGGGACACGCCCTCCCTTCCCTTCATGTTTAACTTCACAGGTCTATCCTTCCACGTAGCTCCCTGAACTCTTCCAAAGGCTTTCAATGGCTTTTGGCGGAAAAACCTCCCGCTCAGCTCTAGAGGGGAAATCTCCCGCCCCTGGCACGTAATCGAGCCGTTTTTTGAAGCCGCGTGGCCCGGGCAGTGCGAGGTGAACTTCGGCCATTTTTTGATCCAGAAGTACCACGAGGCCGCCAAGGCCAAAGGCCTGCGCCTGGTGCAGTTCTGCGGCGCCATGTGCGTCCCCGAGGACCTGGCGGCCTATCTGCTGGCCCGCCGCGCGGCTGGCTGTCGGCTTTCTCGTCTTTCGAGCGGGGGGGGGGGGGACCGGGAAGGGCCTTCTTAAGACGTAACCAGGCTGGTTTTAGGTTGGGTTGGGCTGGGTTGGGTTGGATTGGGGTGGGTTGGGGTTTGGTTTTGGGTTTTGGGGAGTTGTTTCATGTTTTGTTTGGATCTGGACCGCGGGGGAAAGAGCTTCCGGCCAGGCTCGGGAATGAATAAATGGCGCCTTGTTCCCATCCCTGCTAAACAAGTGCAAAAGAACGGGAAAGGTACAAGTCAAACTGCCCACAAGACTATCGAGACCATTGCGCTTTGGCGTGATTGACCTTCGTCAAGCAGTATGGGGGGGGGGGGGGGGTGCGACAAATGAAGAAAGGATGGGTTTGGGGAAAGAGCGGGCCCAACTTCCAGTTACGGACTTGAAGAGCGCCAATAAATACCGCCGGACTGTAGTTGGGTCGTTCAACAAGTAGCTTCTTTTTGGGGGAACAGCAGCCCAAGAACTGGCGTTTCTTTGCCGCACATTTCTTAGATTTTTGATTCCCATGGCTCGACGCCTTCATGTGCTCAGGCGCCCGATGGGGCTGTCTTACACTGGTGTTTTGGGAGTCAGCCTGTACTTGCTCATCCTGCAACGTGTTGATTCTTTGCCTGAAGTGCCCTCGTCGACATCCGATTTGCAGAAACATTTGTTGCTTGCGAAGTGTGTCTGTGATCGGAGCGCAGAATGAGCAGATGTCACCAGTGTTTCCACCATCGCGACCGCTGGGTGCCCAGGGGTTGAACATGCAGTGCAGGGATCTTTGGCAGGGACGGGACCAAAAACCGATTCTGACTGGAGGAGTTGCCTTTCCAGCCCCGCAGAGCCTTTTTCGTGTCAAGCACCCCCAAAATCACAGCCGTCTGGCCCCATCGTGTCTTTCCCAAAAACGACGAAAGAAACCCCTCCCCCGTGCCTCAACCGCCGCCTCGAGCTCCACCTGCCCCAAAATCGCCGCTCGACTCGCGCCGCTCGCCTCGCGGCTCGCCGAGGAAGGCTCGGGCCGTTGAAGTCGCTGCGGCAGCACAGCAACGGCCTGGGCTTCCGCTCCGGCGGGTCCGTGCAGACCGGCCTCACGGTGGTGGAGCTGGGAACCCAGACTCGACTCGACTCGACTCGACTCGACTCGACTCGGGCGGTTCGGGGGACCTCAGTTGGTTTTCGGTTTGGGGGGGACAGCCTCTTTTTGTGCTGCTGATGTAACGCGTTTGATTGAAGTCGTAGTTGGATCTGTCATTTGCTGGGTGGCTGGGGACAGAGGCACCGCAGATGTGCCTAGTGCTGCTAGTCTTCTTGAGAGGTATGCTAGGAAATGGCACCCGAGGAATGTGCGCACCCTGGATGCCTTCCCTCAAGCGTGTCAAAGGCCCTTTTGTTGCACGAGGGTGGTGAAGGTAGATGGCACAACCCCTGGACGTGTGTAAGTACTGGTGACTAAAACCAACATGAGGGGAATCGTGCTTTCTACCCTCACCCATGAATGTGTTGTAAAGGTAGCAATGAAAGTTGCCCTGCACTTTTTGGAGGTTGCAGGGAAAGTTGCCCCGCGCTTTTTGGAGGTAGGAAAGCTCCCCCTAACTTTGTTTCAGGTGCAAAAGGAATTTACCCCTTGCTTCTCAGCTTGTGTTGCCAAAAGATTGGTTCAGCCCCCACAGTCATCGAGAGTGTTGGGGCCGGTCCTTCATTTGCTTTGCAAAACATCGGTGTCTTGAAGGAGGGACCATCGCAAGGGCGGTGAACCCAGGGCGGTGAACCCAAGGGTGGTGAACATACACCCTCTGTCAGACTTTGACGCGACTGGAAGGTGACTGCTGCTGCCGGGAGGCATGGCCACTTAGGGCCTGGCACCTACCCAACTGTTTGAATGAAGACTGCTTCACGAGGCAGCTGTGTTCCAAGGTGTGTTTGAAGTCTACGTGTTGCTCATTGTGAACAATAAGCATGTTCGGCAAAGTACTGGGATCACTGCCAAACGTGTTGAAACACTTTTTCGTTCGACTCCTCCAGCCTGCCCCGCAACCATTTCACCGAAACGCACCTAGGCGGATGCTGCCAGATTCCATGGCGGCAGGGTCCCGGGCGGAGTGGGGCTGGCGGGAAGGAAATCAAAGAAGGGCATGTTTTGTCGAGGCTACCCCTGCCGGGCCGGTCAACAGGGAACGAAAAGGAAGCGACACATTTTTGGGTCCATGTGCACCTTGGATTTTGATCCTTCTTGTGGGCGAAAGGTTATGGTTCCCTTTCCTGAAATAGGATTGAGGATTTGGACGGACTTTGGGGGCGCAGTGTAGAATGGATTTTCCTTGGGATTTCCCTTCTTTTGTTTTTTGGGGGCGGGCGGATCTGCTTCGTGGATCTGCCATTGACCCAGTGTTGGATCCTCTCTTTGTGCCATCTTCCTTTTGTCCTTTTGCAGATTCGGTGGAGGAGGGGGGGATGGGACTCCCGTTATTTAGAGTTGCTGGAGTTGGCGTAGTTGGTGGTGCGGGCCTTTTTGTTCTTTGTCCCAGTTTCTTACGTGGTTATCATCTGTTGTGCACTTGGGCACTCGGGGCACTCTGGGCCCGGAGGTCTGGGCCATAGGGCCGACGGCCTCCGCGGTCAATTTCATTGCCCCAAGAGGACTTGTAGATGGAAGCTCAAGGATCGGCGATTTCTGGGTTTCAGAAATGCCGGGTGTTTCAATTTCATTGCCCCAGTTCTGGGTTTCAGTCCGCATGACGATGTCACGTCTTGCCGGATCGAATCTCTGGGCTCACAGCAACGCGCCTTCCGCAGTCTTGCGACTCGCCCGCTCCCATGTTAGTCCAAGTTGACGCAGAAACCAAAGGGACTTAGCTACAGCTAGCAACCCCATTTGACGCGGCCAGCGTCCGGTTGGCGCCGGCCGGGAAGCCTGGTGAACTTGCACCAGAGTTGGCCGTCGCCTTTTTCGCTTGGGCTGCTTCCAGTGGCCTCAGGCTACCAAGAGGGAAGGTGAAGCCTAGGCTGAGCGCTGGGCCTCGGACCGGGCCTCATCAGAGAGGTTCTTCCCTCACAGACCGGTTCCTGCTCCCGGTCGCCTTTTTTGGGGCTCAGCTTGCAGTCCTGGGGGGGGAGACGTCCCTGGGATGTTTGTGATGCTGGGCGATACACAGATGCTTCCGTGCAAACTGGTTTATTCCCACTGAAAAGGCGCAGAAGTTCATCAGTTCAAGGTTCTCATCAAGGCAAGTCCAACTTGGACTTTGCGGCCGTCCACTTACAGTGGGCAAAGGAGCACTTACACCTGTTCGGGTAAATGTGTACGAAAGAATTCCAGGGGGCTGGGAGGTGCTAGAGGACCCGAGGCAACCTGGTTATATTGCCACTTTCCAATACGGAATCTTGCCAAATTTGGGGTCTTTTCCAAAAGGGTTGCGTGGCTTTCGAGTTTCAGAGGCCCCCACTCCACCAAGGGTATGCAAAGCTGTGCGGGTCAGGTCCGCAGGTCGAAGCGCTCAGCCGAGGCTTTTGACAGCAGGGGAACTTCAGGCGGGTGCTGAGAGATGTCGGAAGTCCGGATGTCTGCTAAAAGGAAGCTGCGGCCCACCCTGATCAAGGTATGCTGTACTGTACCAGCAACAAAGCCGGCGGAGCCTGGGGGGCGGAGGTTTCAAAAGGCAGCAGGTATAGTTGGACAGCTTTCCCTTCCTGTGACGCTTTGAGCCTGCCAATGCTCCCTTTTTTGTGACCGCGTGACAAGGCTGTTTGTTGCTTGCGCCGCGGCCGGACATGGCACGCGCAAGCAACACGCAGTCCAGCGCATGAGAGTCGTGCGCATCCTGGAGCGGCGCGCGCGCAATCCTACGCAGGACCTGCACACTGCTCGCCCTCGTGTCTTCGCGAAGCAAGCGTGCGTCCATAAGAAGGCGAAGGTCGCGGAAAATCGCACAAGATAGTTGACCAAATTGAACATCATGACAAGCGAATATGTTGAGTTCCACCCCACGAAAGTCCGCAGAGGGTTCTTCCAGCGAAATGGAAAAAAGCAACAAGCAGCGAGCTTAGGGTCAACCCAATGAAGCGCGGCCGTGCCAATGGGCCCGTCTCCGAGACGGCTCCAAGACCGCTCCGAACCCGCATCGCGACAGCTGGTTTTGTAATTTTCTTTTCTGTCTCATTTTCTTTCTCTTCCTCTTCCTGTTCCATTGTCTCTTTCTTTCTCTCTGTCGCGCAATCTCCGCCTGCTGCGAAAGTGCTGAGCCTACCACGCAATTTGCACCTGACCCTGCGAAAGTGCTGCGCCTGTCCCAACATCAGCTGCAGCGCCCGCGTGCTCCAGAATGCGATTCTAGCGTTGCCAAAGTATTGCGCTTTTCGTGCAATCTGTGCCTGAGTTTGCACAACTGCTGCAACAGGCTTGCCTGTCACGAAATCTGAGCACCCAGCCAACAAAGTGCTGCGCTTGCTCACGCAAAGTGCGCTCGTCCGTGCCAATGGGCCCGCGTCCAAACCAGTTTCGAGAGGCGTCGCGACCGGGGTAGCTTTCCGCAAGCCGGAGAAGCCAAGATCCGCGAAGGTTGCTCTTTTTGTTGCGATTTCGGGCCATATGCCTACGTTCCTTCTTTCTTCATCACATCTTGGCGCAGACCTTCAGTTTGTGTCCGCCAGCAACATGGAAGTTCCTTGGCATCTTCTTTTGATTACTGTATGCATTACTCATTAATCAAGGTATCAAGTTGGAGATGGTGCCGGCGCCAGAAAATGCCCCTCCTCTTCAAAATCCTTTCGTCTGTCTGGACACTGTAGTTGTGTGAGAGAGTTTGGTTTCCCCTTTCTGTTGCAAGCTTCGTGAAGACCAGAATGCCATACTGTAAGGTGACTAGAAATGCCGAATCTTCAGGGTTCATGTGTAGCACAGCTTTGTCGTTTAGTTCGCTGTCTCTCTCTCTCTCTCTCTCTCTCTCTCTCTCTCTCTCTCTCTCTCTCTCTCTTGTTCTCTCTCTCTCTTTGGCGGCACCCCGAAGTGAACACTCCAAGGTTGAGTGGGAAGCCGATTCGACACGGCCTTTGCGCAAAAAAACAAGGCACCAAGGGGACCGTGACAAAGACTTGAAAGCCAGGTGGTTTCATCGACACCTGCTTCAGATGCAATGGTCTTGTCGTTTCAGTGGAATCACGATTCACGATCTGCAGAGCACAGTGTTCTAGTTGTCCAGTGTTGCAGTGTTGCCCAGTGTTGTAGTGTTGCCCAGTGTTCCAGAGTTCCAGCCTAGCGTCCAGTTGTCCAGTGTCGCGGGGCAACATGATTGTTCGGAAAATGACAGAGCGCAATAATAAGCGAGAACATGTCGTGAGAGGGAAAGTCCAAGAAGTTATGTATATGTATTAACACATTATAGTTTTATGGCTTCCTGCAGGGAGTCCAAACGAATCAAATATGAGTTGTTCTCATGCCAAGTGAAATATGGATCCGATTTCAACGGTTTCTTGCATTCTTTTATGCCTTAGGTGATTTGTAATTTGTTCCCAGGTTCCAGATGTCTGAAATTTTCCTAATGGCAATCCAAGCAAGCGGACTGGTTGATGGCGTCCGTGGTATGAGGCATTGGCGCTTGATCCTGCAATTGACTTTTGGTGCCCCAGCGGCCGAAGTGGAGTTTTGCCAATTGGTCTTTGCAGTGTCCTCCGTGAGAAATGTGTGTCAACATGGGGAAACACGACGTGAAGGTCGAGAAGCAACATGCATCACGATTTGGGGGGTTTTGAGTTTAGAGCCACATGCCCAGGGCATGTTGCGAGGGATGGTTTTGAAGGCGTGCGCCTGGGAAGGCGACAATGTTTGAGGGCATATGTCCGAGAGGCGCGAGGAGCAATGCCGCGATGGCGTTTGAGGAGGCCAGAAAGAGCGGTACAAGGTGTGTTCGCTGCGAGCGATGGCTGGTTCTCCTTCCCCCTGTCGAGATGGGTTTCCGACTTCTTGTACTTCCCATGTTCAGGGATCCTTCTTATTATGAGATTGCAAAAGCTAGCCACTGACAAGTTGTGGGTGTCTTTTGACACGAAGAGTGATAATGTTTGGGGGGTCACCACTTCGTCTCCTTTGTCACCTATTGGGAAACGTGGCCGAGAATTTCAATCGATTCTGAGAGGTTTTACATCAAACCTCGGAGGGTGCCTGGGTAAGCTCCCAGGCCATTTGCCTAGAACACATGCACACGCTTTCCCAAGCCAACCTGGTGCGACTTTGTGTGGTTAGCAAACTCGTTGTTTGAAGATTTATGTTCACCTTGTTGAACTTATCAGAGTATCATCCACGCTTACAGAAAAGATGAGATCCCTGACTGACGGGGTGAGTAAGTCGTACTTTCCTGTTTCATGTTCGCTGGTGACGCTTGCAGAGGAGAACCCCCACCCATTTTGAGACATGCCAGGTCAGCAAACAAGTTTCCTACTGATGCATACAATCTTGTTTCGAGGCACCAGGGAGCCATGCATACATGTTGTGGGGGTGGCGACAGGGAGCTAGACTACAGGGTGGGTGCACCTCTCGATCGATTGTTCACAACTGCTCCAAGTCGGACCCACCCCTTCACTATCTGGGGTCTCTGTTGGTAGACTGATCCCTGTTTGGCTGTGCATCTTTCGCCGAAGGTCGCCTGTCCGCTTCAGTTCGCCAGGACGTCTGAGGACGACGCTCTGAGTGCCACAGCCTGAGCTTAGCGATCGGAGCCCAACGCCGGTGGATTCGATCCCTGTTCGCTTTCGCCGGTTCCTTAACCTCCAGAAGGATCGCCTGGTTCGGAATCGGCAAGCCGAAGCTTGAAACGCGCGTCACACTTGGGGACTCTGTTTGGATGCGTCCAAAGAACAGCCACGGGACAACTACCTATGGCTCGCGATCGAATCGAGGGCTATCATCTAGCTATGGGCGGCCGGTCTGCAGCAGCCTGATCCCCCCCCCCCCCCCGGACCCTTTTTTGAGACGGTCACGGCGAATCAGCTCATTGCCGGGCACATGGAAATTTTCAGCCAAGGGTTGAACACTTTGTATAGAGAGAGGGTGATCCGAAATCCGTGTTGACCAAGGCAAATGTCAGGAGAAACTTCCAGGTACTCCCTTTTGCAAGCTTCTTATCACAGCCTAGCCAGGATTTGCAGGGGTATGGGAAGCGTAAGAGGTTTACAAAACTGTCCTCCATCTGAAGCACCATAGTTGACAACGCTATATGCCAGCATGTTGCACTGCCTGCATCGCAGGTCTCGTCATGCGACGAGTTAGAAGCAGCAGCCTCGGTCGAGAGACCTGCCCAGGTTAGGATCGGTTTGACAAATTGGGGGCCCTGGATGAATCAGGTAGAACCCAGGACCGTTTTGTCTTGGCTTTGGTACCTTCAGAAGTGGTCAAGTGGGTTTGGACTTTGGGGGTTGATTTGGGTTGGTCTGTGAATTCAGGTGTATCGCGTGCCCGCGTACATGTGCTAATTCCAGAGCCGGATTCGGGAGTATCGCAAAGGTTTCTGCTCGGTGCGATTATGTTTTGCTTGCAAGCCACAATCTTAAATCAGAATTAGATTCAGTGGCTGTTGGACAAGTGCAGCCTGTTGGGTAATGACAATTTTGGACACAATTAGATTTTACCTCATCGCCTCGGCGACTACAAGGGCAAAGGTAAATCTTTGAACGCTGCCAACTACAGCTTGAAGGGCCGCAGCGTGAATGTCTGCAACACAACCGGACGAGATCCAGGGAGATTCTGGGCCAATCCTAATCGACCCGTACTCAGAACAACCAACTGCAAGAAACATACTTGCAGCTTGTATGTGTTTAAGGTTCAAACCTAGCAGTCAAGAGACGAACAGCAGCTCAAGGAGCCCATTGTGCCAAAGTCTGCAGTACAGCAACTTAGAATCCGTACAGAAAACGAAGACCAAACAAACCCAGACTCAGAGCTGAGCCTGCAGCACGCGGTGATGCAAGTCACATTGAGCCCCGCGGATCTGACGATTGCCATTGAGGAAGCCGATCTTGGCGCGTCAGTCTGAGGTTTCAACAGCCAACCAAACCGCAACAGAGGGCACAGCTGGTCATCGGCACTTGCCATTTAAGTTCATGCTTCTGCCTCCATGTCTAATAGCCCTTCTTTGAGAGAGGATTCTAGGTCCAAAAAGGGCGCCTTGGTCACAAGGACAACAGTCGCTTGGTGCCGGGGATGGGATCTCTGGAAAACCTGCAGGCTCAGAGCATATGGATATGCGGGGTCAGTCAGCCACCCATTCAACTGACAAAAAGGGTTTGGTTGTCACACCCTGAAAAGCATCCCAACAGTTCCGGCAAGGCACGCATGGGCTCGGACCCCGAAACGCTCAGGATGTAGACATCGTGGTTGGGCCGAATCCGTCCCAGGCAAGGGCTGCCGTGAATGCACGGAGGCTTCACGTTCATCAACTGATTGGATCCCCCACTGTGAAGCAGAGAATCTGCGAACTACTTTTGAAGCTTGAGAATCCTTGAAGAGCCTTGAGAAACCCGGGAGACTTGGGCATCCAGTGTTGATAGTAGCTGTGATTAGATCTTGCGTCCAGATTGCTGACCACAGCATGAAGAGGGGATTGGAAACAATAGGTGTTTAGAATGATATGTCCTTTTAACTCCACGGGCGTGAGGGAATGAGCATGCGCGATACAAGGTTACAGCTGGTGCATAGGGATGCTCAATTGCTTGATCTTTTGGGCAGGTGAGAGTTGCAAGCCCAGCGTGGCAAGAAAGAAGTGGTAGGCAACGGACAACAGGCAAGACTAACTATGAGTGTGGGTGCTTGTTGCTTGTGGGGAGTGTGGGTGGCCCAGCTTGATGTGACTGACATCACGACGGTCATATGAGCTTTGCCTCTGATTCCAAGTCAACTCAGCTCACGCTGATTGGGTTTTGTGGTTTTGTTGTTGAAAAGGAGAGCACGATCTGCAGAAGTTGGATGTCCGGGTGACTTAGGGATGACTCAGGGATTTCTTGGTGACAATGGCCTGAGCCGAGTGGCATGTTGTGCCCAGAGTCACCGTGGGGATTCAGGTGTCATGGGCTCATGGTGCTAGGGGCTTGCAAAGATAGCTTGCAGCAGTCTGGCTGTCGCCGTTTTTTCCCAGGGAGTGGTTGCCATCTCCCCTGGTATCACCTTAGAGAACAGCTGGCCAGTACAGGAAGGGTGGGATAAAAGGGGAGGGCCGGAAGGAAAGAGTGTGATAGTGATAGGGGATTAGACTTGATGCACAGGCTTCTCAACCAACTGCTTGTGGCAAGCCAAAAGCAAGTGGGCGGCAGACTATGAGTGCTGGTTTTCACGACTTGCTTGTCGCTTGTGTGGAGTGTGAGTGGCCCAGAATGATGAGACTGACATCACGACGGTCATATGAGCTTTGCCTCTGATTCCAAGTCAACTCAGCTCACGCTGATTGGGTTTTGTGGTTTTTGTTGCTGAAAAGGAGAGCACGATCTGCAGAAGTTGGATGTCCGGGTGACTTAGGGATGACTCAGGGATTTCTTGGTGACAATGGCCTGAGCCGAGTGTTATGTTGCGCCCAGAGTCACCGTAGGGATTCAGGTGTCATGGGCTCATGGTGCTAGGGGCTTGCAAAGATAGCTTGCAGCAGTGTGGCTGTCGCCGTGCCTTTTTCCCAGGGAGTGGTTGCCATCTCCCCTGGTATCACCTTGGAGCACAGCTGGCCAGTACAGGAAGGGTGGGATAAAAGGGGAGGGCCGGAAGGAACGAGTGTGATAGTGATAGGGGATTAGACTTGATGCACAGGCTTCTCAACCAACTGCTTGTGGCAAGCCAAAAGCAAGTGGGCGGCAGACTATGAGTGCTGGTTTTCACGACTTGCTTGTTGCTTGTGGGGAGTGCGAGTGGCCCAGCATGATGAGACTGACATCACGACGGTCATATGAGCTTTGCCTCTGATTCCAAGTCAACTCAGCTCACGCTGATTGGGTTTTGTGGTTTTTGTGGCTGAAAAGGAGAGTGGATACACTCAGCAAGGTCTGCAGAAGTTGGATGTCCGGGTGACTTAGGGATGACTCGGGGATTGCTTGGTGACAATGGCCTGAGCCGAGTGGTATGTTGCGCCCAGAGTCACCGTGGGGATTCAGGTGTCATGGGCTCATGGTGCTAGGGGCTTGCAAAGATAGCTTGCAGCAGTCTGGCTGTCGCCGTGCCTTTTTCCCAGGGAGTGGTTGCCATCTCCCCTGGTATCACCGCAGGGGATAGCTGACCATCACAAAAGAGGGGAGTGATGATATGTAATACAGGGATTCAATGAGGTGAGGGTCCATGATAGGGGCTGGCAAGAGATGACAGAGGACTGCAGGAAGGAAAGAGTGTGATAGGGGATTAGACTTGATGCACAGGCTTCTCAACCAACTTCTTGAGCAGGTGAGAGTTAACAGCGCGGCGTGACAAGGCAGAAGCAAGTGGGCGGCAGACTATGAGTGCTGGTTTTCACGACTTGCTTGTTGCTTGTGGGGAGTGTGAGTGGCCCAGCATGATGAGACTGACATCACGACGGTCATATGAGCTTTGCCTCTGATTCCAAGTCAACTCAGCTCACGCTGATTGGGTTTTGTGGTTTTTGTTGCTGAAAAGGAGAGCACGATCTGCAGAAGTTGGATGTCCGGGTGACTTAGGGATGACTCAGGGATTTCTTGGTGACAATGGCCTGAGCCGAGTGGTATGTTGCGCCCAGAGTCACCGTGGGGATTCAGGTGTCATGGGCTCATGGTGCTAGGGGCTTGCAAAGATAGCTTGCGGCAGTCTGGCTGTCGCCGTGCCTTTTTCCCAGGGAGTGGTTGCCATCTCCCCTGGTATCACCGCAGGGGATAGCTGACCATCACAAAAGAGGGGAATGATGACATGTGATACAGGGATTCAATGAGGTGAGGGTCCATGATAGGGGCTGGCAAGAAATGACAATGCCGGATGAAAGAGGACTGCAGGAAGGAAAGAGTGTGAAAGGGAATTAGACTTGATGCACAGGCTTCTCAACCAACTGCTTGAGCAGGTGAGAGTTAACAGCGTGGCGTGGCAAGGCAGAAGCAAGTGGGCGGCAGACTATGAGTGCTGGTTTTCACGACTTGCTTGTTGCTTGTGGGGAGTGCGAGTGGCCCAGCATGATGAGACTGACATCACGACGGTCATATGAGCTTTGCCTCTGATTCCAAGTCAACTCAGCTCACGCTGATTGGGTTTTGTGGTTTTTGTTGCTGAAAAGGAGAGCGCGATACACTCAGCAAGGTCTGCAGAAGTTGGATGTCCGGGTGACTTGAGGATGACTCAGGGATTTCTTGGTGACAATGGCCTGAGCCGAGTGGTATGTTGCGCCCAGAGTCACCGTGGGGATTCAGGTGTCCTGGGCTCATGGTGCTAGGGGCTTGCAAAGATAGCTTGCGGAAGTCTGGCCTTTTTCCCAGGGAGTGGTTGCCATCTCCCCTGGTATCACCGCAGGGGATAGCTGACCATCACAAAAGAGGGGAGTGATGATATGTAATACAGGGATTCAATGAGGTGAGGGTCCATGATAGGGGCTGGCAAGAGATGACAATGCCGGATGAAAGAGGACTGCAGGAAGGAAACAGTGTGATAGGGGATTAGAGTTGATGCACAGGCTTCTCAACCAACTTCTTGAGCAGGTGAGAGTCAAAAGCGTGGCGTGGCAAGCCAGAAGCAAGTGGGCGGCAGACTATGAGTGCTGGTTTTCACGACTTGCTTGTTGCTTGTGGGGAGTGTGGGTGGCCCAGCATGATGAGACTGACATCACGACGGTCATATGAGCTTTGCCTCTGATTCCAAGTCAACTCAGCTCACGCTGATTGGGTTTTGTGGTTTTTGTTGCTGAAAAGGAGAGTGGATACACTCAGCAAGGTCTGCAGAAGTTGGATGTCCGGGTGACTTAGGGATGACTCAGGGATTTCTTGGTGACAATGGCCTGAGCCGAGTGGTATGTTGCGCCCAGAGTCACCGTGGGGATTCAGGTGTCATGGGCTCATGGTGCTAGGGGCTTGCAAAGATAGCTTGCAGCAGTCTGGCTGTCGCCGTGCCGTTTTCCCAGGGAGTGGTTGCCATCTCCCCTGGTATCACCGCAGGGGATAGCTGACCATCACAAAAGAGGGGAATGATGACATGTGATACAGGGATTCAATGAGGTGAGGGTCCATGATAGGGGCTGGCAAGAGATGACAATGCCGGATGAAAGAGGACTGCAGGAAGGAAAGAGTGTGATAGGGGATTAGACTTTGTTTTTGGGGGCATGTACTTTTATCATAGCATGTTTCATGCCGAAGCCCAACGCGGCTTTTGGCTCAAGCTTTTCAATCCGGCAACTAGCCCTTGCAATTTCGTCACCGCGCACTGCGGCACGTCACGCTCATCTTCGGCAAACAGTGCCGCTGCTGAGCGCTCGTGGTGGTGTTTCCGGTGGAGGTTGGTCGGGGGTTCTGGTTGGGGTTGGTGCGCATTTGGTTTGCTTTGCTTGCTTCGCTCGCTTTGCTTGCCCGCGTTGGTGCTGCTGCTCGTGCGCTTGCTGCGCTGCTGCCCTTGCTGGGTTCTTTCTTCTGTTAGTTAAGCTGGCACCCCTTTTGGTTCGTGTTTGTGTCGGCCGAGGGCAACCGCTTTGCCCTTGGGACCGGGGGGATAAGGTGGTCTCTTCTTGTTGGTGGGTTAGGGCCTGTTTTATCCATCCCGAAACTCTGTTTCAAACCCTTTCGCAGGTTATCAGCCGTAGGATTCGTCCTCGGTTGGCACCGCGAACCCCTTTCTAACAACCCTGCAGGCATCGTAGGGTAGTGTAAATAGTATGGCGGGAATCACTGAGGATGGACCTCATGTGGTGACCGATGAATGGGTTCTCGGCCAGGCCGGAATCTTGGACGTTGTGAATGACGACCAAGTGCCCGGACAGCCGATGTTTTCCGGTCCTGACTTTTTGTCGGACCACACTTTTTCAGAAGCAATGCCTTCAGGAAGGTCCAGTGCTACTCGCACTGATGACCTATCGTCTAATGCCTCAAGAGCTAATCGCTCTCAGGGTCATGGGGCTAATCGTCCTGACCATGATGATTCCGTCTCAGGACGTGATGATGACGAGCCCGGTATTGCACCTGGAGCTCAATCCTCATCTTTCCCGGAGCTGATGAATATTGGTCAGTCCGAGTTTCGTGACTCTCAAAGTAGCAGTAGACCTGTGCCAACCAGTAGTATAGTTTTTCAAGCGCTCGGTAATCCCGAACCTGGTACATCCAGTGGAGTTGCATTTGACGTTCATCTGCCGACCGAATCCGGTGGGCTCGATTGGAGAGCCTCATGGCCCAACGACGGAAACATTTTTGGTATGGATTTTGCCTCATGGATGCCAGGGCCA